GTGGTGCTGGTGGCGATGGTGGCGATGGGGTGATGGTGGTGATGGTGGTGATGGGTGGTGGTTGGTGGTGGTGGTGATGTGGTGATGGTGGTTGATGGCGATGGTGGCGATGGTGGCGATGGTGGCGATGGTGGTGATGGTGGTGATGGTGGTGATGGTGATGGTGGTGATTGGGGTGGTGGCGATGGTAGCGTGGTGGCGATGGTGGCGATGGTGGCGATGGTGATGGTGGTGATGGTGGTGATGGTGGTGATGGTGATGGTGGTGATGGTGGTGATGGTGGTGATGGTGATGTGGTGATGGTGGTGTGGTGATGGTGGGTGGTGATGGTGATGGTGGTGATGGTGGTGGTGGTGATGGTGGTGATGGTGGTGATGTGGGATGGTGATGGTGGTGATGGTGGTGATGGCGATGGTGGCGATGGTGGCGATGGTGGCGATGGCGGCGATGGCGGTGACGGTGGTGATGGTGGTGATGGTGGTGATGGTGGTGTGTGGTGTGGTGGGTGGCGATGGTGGCGGGTGGCGATGGTGGCGATGGTGGCGATGGCAGTGACGGTGGCGATGGTGGTGATGGTGGTGATGGTGATGGTGGTGATGGTAACTCTTCACAGCTCGCAGAGAGGCCATGCATGACCCAACCGGTCTGACACCTCTCTCTCTATGTATTGTGATGTAGACCCCTTTGCCTGGAAATGTCGCCTCCATTTATTATTAATTTAAATCTAATTCATTATTAACTTTAAGGTCACACACATACGGAGTTATTTTTGTTAATTGTGCTCATGCACCGCTGCAAGCGTAGTCGCATTATCAAGTAATGTCTTTTACATGATACCCTTTAATGGGGCAAGTGCTGTTAGCGAGGACCTAATCAGGACGGTACGGGTCGCCTTTGTCTCCCCAGTGCTGATGCTTAATACACACCGCACCAGGTTATCATTTTAGGCTGAGTTGACCTAGGGGAGGCTCAGGACGGGTGCAAATATTTACCACAGTTTGTTGGTCGTGAGTGGGAATCGAACTTGGGTCACCGGGTTCATATCGCAGCGCGCTAACCACGACGTGAACAAATACACCAACAAACCTGCAGTGTCGTCATCACGGTAGCTTGTGCCAGGCTAGGTGCACCTTGAGGACGTCACGTGAAGTGTCGAAGCCTCGGTGCTGACAGGGGATCACGGCACAGACCCAGCAGGTGCCGTGGGTTGACTGACCGAGATGACTGACAGATGCACCACCTGTGCTCCCTACTGTACCAGGCTAGGTTCAGGAGGTATCGGAACAGATGCCGTGGGTTGACTCACTGAGATGACTGGCAGACGGACCTCCCCCCCCCCCCCACCGCACTGTGCCACCTCATTGCGTTTTAGCCGCCCGGCTCTCCGCTCGTTGTTGTGAGCGTCGCTCCCTCTGCCCGCTCCGCCGGAGGGCAGCTGCCTACGACTGCATCCCATTTCCCAGCCCGCTCTACGTGCACCTAGCCTGGCACTGCCCACTAGCGCCTTTGAGCGAGCCTCCCGTGGAGGCGACTCGTGAAGGGCACGCGTAGAGCCACTCGTGCACCGCGAGCTGTAAAGTCTGAATGCAGCAGGCGATAGAACAATGCGAGTATCTTAATGCTCAGTCTTCTCGCATCCCCCATACCCCACACCCCCCACTCCATTAGCCCCCTCCCTCCCACCTCGCCCGGCACGGCCTCTTGCACAACGGAGCAATTAAAAATCTTCGCACGATCCTCACATCTCAGTGAAGTGAACGCGGGACGCTGGACGCTGTGTAGCCAGACGTCTTGGGGAACCAAACGTCCCGACGCTCCGAGGAGCCGTCGCGACGAGTTTGGATTTTGATGCCGGGTTTTGATCCTGGGGTTTTTAATTGCTGGGGTTTTGATTCCGTGTTTTGAGCCTCGATTTGACTCCAGGTAACGATTCCGGATTTTTTTTATTTTCTAATTTAATCCCGAGTTTTGATTCTGGATTTTTTTATTTTCTAATTTAATCCCTGGTTTTGATTCCGGATTTTTTTCCCGTGGTTTTGATTCCGTGTTTTGATAATCGGTTTTGACTCCAGGTAACGATTCCGGATTTTTTTATTTTCTAATTTAATCCCGAGTTTTGATTCCGGATTTTTTTTCTTCTAATTTAATCCCGGGTTTTGATTCCGGATTTTTTTCCCGGGGTTTTGATTCCGTGTTTTGATCCTCGGCTTTGACTCCAGGTAACGATTCCGGATTTTTTTATTTTCTAATTTAATCCCGAGTTTTGATTCCGGATTTTTTTTCTTCTTCTAATTTAATCCCGAGTTTTGATTCCGGATTTTTTTCAGGGGTTTGGATTCCGTGTTTGGATCCTGGGTTTTCACTCCAGGTAACAATTCCGGAATTTTGTATTCCCTTTTTTAATCACCAGTTTCGATTCCGGTTTTTTTTGCGGGCTTTTTGATCCCGGGTGACGATTCCTCGTTTTTGATTCCGTCTTTTGATCCCGGGTTTTGTTTATTCTGGATTTTGATTCTACTGCAAGCAGAAGGGCCACCACGTAGCGCTGAGCACTGGAGAGCAACCCTCCTTGCAGGGAACGTCTTGGAATACGTGGGAGTTACCCACACGTTACCCCAGCACACACGAACTTCCGACTTACTGTGGTATATACACCATTTTTTCATGGAAAAATAACGGATAATACACTGTAACATGATAACAAATGTCATGTTAATAGCTTCAAAAAGTCCAAGAGTTTCCACGTGTTCGCCATCGTTGTCAACACATGCCTGTAATCTTCTCCAGGTGGTCTCTAGTGCCCCGGAGGGCACGCTTCTTGTGGTCTTGTTGCAAATTTCTCACAAGTGTTAAAAACATGTTTTGAGGCACCCTCAATATAACCCATTTACACCGATGGTGCGAGCCAGATGCGGTAGTGGGTTAGAGAAAGATACAATATAAAAACGTAGCCTCACATTTTTTTTGAACGGGAAATCCGACTTGCGACATCAAGTCCAGTTGCCGGACCATCACAGCTCACGCGGATGTCCTCAGGGCATCGCAAGATAGTGAGATTAACACGTAGCAGGCTTTCGCGACCAATATTATTCATAATCAACGTTTTTGGGTTTAGATCGCGTTATTTATAAATGTGTCGTAACCCTCCACCAACCGACACGGCCAATCAGTAAAAAAGTGTGACGTTGACAAAAGACAAATAGTTCACTACTTTAGCCCACCGGTGTGTTGAAGCGTGAAACTACAACAAATTGTAAATGTTGTGGTTTCACGCTTCAACACACCGGTGGGCTAAAGCAGTGACTCTATTT